TAATAAATTATTTTCTTGTGTAGTTTTGGTTTTGAAGGATATGGCATAACGCTATCTTGATTTTATTAATTATTTTGTACAAGTCATATCTAGTGGTATCTGGTGGCAGATTTGTGAGTCTGAAAATGTACCTATTTTGAAGTAGCTTGGCTTTATAGATTTTAAGGAGTGATAAATTCTCAAAAGTTCTCTTTTAAAAAAAATGTTTCATTTTTTCACAATTTTGTTGTAATCTTCTTATTATTAGAATTCGGCTAGTGCACTTTGCCACATGCCTGTAGTACTTATTTTTAGGCTATGGATTTGTCTAAATTGAGCCAGTTTCTGTTTTATTTCTTGTTGATTGGTATCCAAGAGAATGTCCCAGATGCAAATAGATTTGCTTTTGGCTACTACCAGATCAAAATCGGCTAGGATTGTCATATAAGAATTGTTGTCTTTGCTAGATTGTCATTTTGCATGCTTTTTATATATCCTTTTGGTTGACAAAGAAAATAATGATTAATTTTGCTTCTGTTGCTGCACCACCTGGGTGCCTGTATAAAAGTCCAGATAGGCAACTGCTTCTTTGACCGTCTTGAGTTTTTGCTTTATATAGCATGTTAGATGTTTTATCTGAATAATTATTTTGTAGCAGAAACGGTCATACTGGGTATACCAGTTTGTAGGCAGATCCAATAGCTATCTGGATTGTCTAGGTGGCTTGACATTATTGGACAAAGTCTCCTCCATTTTACTCTCTAGTTCTATGGATGTTATATTTTCATTTGACTCATCAAAGATTGATGGATGTATACCCATTGGATTTTTTTTGTATTTATGCAAGTGTCCTCTGCCCAAGTGAAGGGACATTCACTCCTTTCTCTAAGGTTTTAGCCAGCTGGGTACCTTGTTTCTACCTACTTTTGGTATAGTTGACCAGTGTTTTTTCTTTTGTTTCTGTTATGTTTTGGATATCTGGTATAGTAGGTAGTTTGAGACAGGTGGGCCTGCACTTATGGGATCATTAGAATTGTATAATGCCATGGCAGGTGGACCTTTTGGATTATCTTTCAATTATTTACTGCAAATTTTAGGTAAATCTGAATAAAAGTTTTTTTTCTGAATATAGTATATATAATATATTAATAAAATTATGTATCTAATATTTTTTTACAATAAAAAAAACAATTATAACAATTATAAAACTAAAGTTGCAAATTTAACAAATATGTATTTAATAATTTTAATTCTAATATTTGTAATTTTAATAATATTAATTATTTTTTTCGAGTTTTTCTATTAGTAAACATTATTTCTTTATTTAATATTACATTATATATAAAATACTATATATTGTAAAAAAAACATTTCTTATGTAAGGAGTAATCCTTAAGGAGTCGCATCCTACTTGGTTACCAATTGAGCCCTCAGATTTGGTAGTGTGTATCAATTATAGAGACAATCTCTTGAAGCATTTACTAGAAAGTGTAAAGAAATAAACAAGCTTTGGAACCAGGAAGGATAGGTTGTAGAGAGTGAAAGTAATAAAGATTATAGTAACAGTTAGCAAGTAAGAAAATCAGCTCTCTGTATAGTCCATACCTATGTATAAACCTACTTCAAAGGTGTAAGTTGGTACCAGAGTTAGAATAAGAGTGAGTTCGTCAGTTAACTAGTGATAGCTAAGACTGTTTATATAATGGTTATTTGTATTCTTTGATCTACAATAAAAATTCTCATATGTATCACGAGAACTCTTTTTGACTATCATCATTTCCTGTGTCAGAATATTGATATAATTGATTGTGGTAGCTCAATGGCACTAACGAGAATTGGAGTTTTTGTGAACATTGCATGCGAAGAATGTTTGTTTACATAAACAAAGGAGTACAAGAACATCAAATGAATACAGTAGAATTTGGAGGATACTTTTTAGCATTGGATATCTTATTGGAAAAGAATATTGATTGGATTTATATTGTGTAATAGAGTCTGCTATCACCAATTTGGGTTAAAGTTTGTGAGCTTATTATTAAAGTTAGATTAGAAGTCTTTTTTATGCAACCTTTCTTGTTTCGACCTGTTTTTAACTCATAACTTTAGCCCTTAAAAAATAATAATAATAATAATAATATCTATTATGTATAAGAAGTAAAAAATCAAATATTAACTTACATATACATATATATTTATTTAAATTTAAGAAAAAAATTCAAACCAATATTATATATTAGTTGTATCTAAATAGTAGCTATATCTACATACTTAAAAAATTTTGTGAAATTTTTTTGTGAATTTATAAGTAAAATAATTTAAAGAAAAAAAAATATAATTATAACCAAAACTAGATCAAGTAAACTATAAAAATATAATCAAAAAATTAATTATTTCTTTAAGAAAATTTTTGAAAAGCATTTGTTTCTATTTTTTAGCTCTTTTATTAGTATAGATAGTAGAATATATATAATATTGCTTGTTATTATAGTTAGTAATAAGGTAATTAATATTGTTATTATTATTATTATAATTATTATTGTTGTTGTTATTATTAAGTTTGTAAACTAGTTTAAATTAATTTTGTTTATTTTGTTAAAATGATATGATAAAGTCTAATTGGATAGTTACCAGGTATGATTAATTAAAGAGTTAAATTAATTTTTTGTTTTTGTAATTGTAAATTTTTTTTAATAGTGTAGTAAATATTGCTAAAATAAAATTTTAAATGAATATTGTATGGAAACAAATATTAAATTTAATAATTTTGTTTGAATATGTTTGAAAAAAACTTGTAAAATTTACAAGTATAATAATTATAATAAAAATATTTTTTATAATATTAAAATAATATGAATTGCAAGAGTACAAAAGAATAAAAATATATTGTTATAGGTTTTTTTCCATACAATTAAAGAATAAATAAAATCTTTAAACTTAAATAAACTTTAATCAGATGTATTATTTCAAGTTTTTAAATAATATTTATTTATTGTTATAAATTTTAAAAATATATTTATTTAGAATATAAACATCAAAATAGTAAGATTTTTTAATATTTTATTAATAAATTTATCTCAAAATTTGATTTTAAAACTAAAAAAAATTTAATCAAAATCTTTTAATAAATTTTTATATAAATTGTAATTAAAAAATTAAAAAAAAATTATTAGATTAACAAAAAAATCATAAAAAGTTTTTTATAATATACAAATTAATTTTATAAAAAATATATATTTTTAAATTTATATAGAATTTTAATAATTAATTGTTTTTTATAAAATCTTGATTTATTATTTTCTATATTTTTTATAATTTATAAAAATTTATAAGCATAGTTATAAATTGTATAAATTGTTATAAAACTATTTATTTTCTTTAATTTTAATAAATTTTTGTAATCATATTGAAATTTGTATTTAAAAATAAAAATACTTTTAATTAATAAAACCTGTTTAATTAAATCAAAATATATTTGTGTTTTGATTTTTTTTTATTTGCAAATATATATACTGTATATAATTTTTTATTTTTTAAATCAATTTTAAAAAACATTTTTTTTTATTTATAAATTTATAAAATGATTATTTTAATGATTTTATAAATAAATTTTATAAAATTTTATTTATACAATATTAAACTTTTTTATACAAACAATTTATATTAGTTTTGTTAACAATTCAATTTTTAATTTTAAAAGATTATGAATTGATAAATGATAAATGACAAACTTGAAAAATTTTCCATCAACTTTTAATATTTGAATGATATCAATAATATCATTTTAAAAATAACGAATTTATTCTAAATATTATATTTATTATATGAAAAAATTATATTATATATTTTAATATTAAACAAATTATTAATTATATATATATGATAAAATTTAAAAATATAATTGTATAAAAAATATTTTAAAAATTATCAAAAATTATAAATATAAAAAATCATTAAAAAATAAAATCATTAAAAAACAAAAATTAATAACACCAGTATAAAATATAATTAATAACACCAGTATAAAATATAATCAATTTTAATTATTTTACAATGTTTAAAATTTATTTAATAAATTTTTATGAAATAAAATACAGTATTTGTTATGAATTAAATAAATTAGATAAATAAAGATTTGAAAAAAATATAACAAATATCATTAAATTTATTAAAAATAGCATTGATTTATATTTAGCTTCTGATTTTAGATATTAATATTAATAGAAACTTTAGTAATCATAAAAATATTGATAATTAAACATGCATTAATAAGAACTTTATTAAAAGATCAAAATTTTTAATTTGATTTATTTTATTGGTTAAAATATAAGTCACGATTTTTGAGTACTTGTCAATCCGATCACGTAATCACTTATTGTTAACATTCCATTATTCTCACTAAGCTCCTTTATTAGTATTATGAAAAATCAAAAATGGAAATAGTGCTACACTGCAAATACAGTATCTCATTATAGCTACCTTAATTATTTTCATTAAACATCTTATGCTGATTTCCGATCAACGTCCCTTAATCCTCATAACCCATTACTGTATTTTGTGATTTCTCCGATTTCTCCGATTTCGCCAATTTTGTCAATATCGCCAGTTTGACGTGACCAAAAGCCGAACATGGGCACCTTATTCATGGAATATCATTTGCCTCATAAATATTCTCTCACAGTATTTCGAATGCCGCCTTTGATAGTATTCAAATCAAAAATGAGAACTAATGACAAAAAAGCTATAGCTGTATATTAGTTACGCAATCAGTGTACGATATTAATATACTGTGCATCATACGTGCTTAAAGTAAAAAAAAAAAGTTTACATATAAAGACCTCGATGAACCTTTAAAACCTTGCATATATAATGTACAGTATACAGTTGTTTAATATTTAAAATAAAAGAATTTATAAGTAGTTACAGTATTGTGGTAAAACATATAAAAACGGCGATTCTCTCAAGAGAAAAATTTCAAACACGAATTTTGTTTGATTTTCCCTGGATAACGTGAATAAAGTATAATGGCGAATAACGTAAATAATCTCCAACCGCAACCACAGCAAATCCTGCGATTGGCTGTCCCGCCTCAACAAGGGAATTTCCAAGCTCCAGCTCTCGTAGTAATTCCCCAACACAATTTGACTCCCGCAAGAAATCACTTAATTTTCCAACATGATTTAATTCAAGGAAGCGTATTTTTATTAAACTCTACTCGCACGCAAGAAGCACCGAGTTTTATGGAGTTTTTGTTTAACGGGAACAGAAATTGGCGTTAAACGAATAAGAAACGATTACGTTCCAAAATCAAACACTTTTTTCTTTAATTTGTTAATTGAATTAATCAACCTCAAAACCCTTCGACTATTTATTCTTCACCGGTTTTATTGAAATAACTTCGTTTAAGAAGTTCGTATTTCATGATAAACCATTCCTTTATAAAGACTATATGAATCTTAAGGAATATTATTCAAACATTTTGCATTTTGTAATTTTAAATTTGTATTACTATACAGTATGATAAGCATAATAAAAGTAACATCTCACACTGCAAAATACATAACAAGCAGCCACATCATATAATATTACGTAATGAAAATCGAGAAGAAATATTCATACAAGAAATCCGTCAAAAACGACAGACGCACATGTTTGTGTTATCACAAATATGTTTTCAAATTCAAATATGGATTCTTATATGTGCATACAAAAAAAAAAAAATTTCCAATATTGTGTATTATGTCGCTCGGGAACTTGCTCACTGACCTGCTTGGTGACTCGCTGTGACTCGCTTCGTGACACTCAGAAATGCCATTCAAAAAAAAAAAAAATTATTTGAAATATGATTGGATTAGAAAATATCGCTATTTATTTTCAGGGGACGAAATACTTGAAATTACATCAAATAAGTACCACTGATGTACAGACTCAATTATCCTTTTGTAATTCTTTGTCGAAATAGAAATATACAAGAATGTATATTTAAAGAAGAAATCAGTGTTAATGGGATAACGAGAGGTTGAAGGTAGGTTAGACAATGAAGTAAAGGGTAGCAAGGGGATGAGGAACTATGTAACACTTTCATATTGTATTGAGAACAATAGCAATCAAATATTTGCGGAGCAAATAAGTGATTGACCAAATAAAGTACATTATTAGCGAACAGTGATATCATCTGGATATAAAATATGGTACTGTAATTATTTTTGAAGGTGAAGAAAAATGATAGAGGTGTCTTTTCGGTCTCTACTTTTAAACAATACGTATACAAATTAATTTTAAGGAACACAATTATTGTGTTCAAAAATTCCTGTACCCTTCAAAAAGAATTACCCATATGGGTAAGTACATGTTTTATAACCCTGTATCTGTGCTCCTAAAATTTACTTATTATTTCAATGAAGGAACTGGAAAGTATATTCGGTGACTTTTGTAGATGATTGACAAATGCAGTACACATGCGGAATTCCTGTCTCATGTGACTGCAATAGATTCATTGCATTATTAATGCATGCGGAGAATCTTCAAGAAGAATAAATGAATTTTAAATGGGTTTTCAATGTAATAATACAACGCCCCGTTATCTCTTTTAAAATCGACCAGATACTCCATTGACATGTATTCGGAAAACTTTTGAAATCGAAGATCTCATAAAAAAGTATGAACAGTGATTATAATCATTGTATACAATGTACAGTATATCGTGAGCAATACTTTAGGTCCGAATCACAAGACATGTTTTTGGAGTTTAAAGTGATTATTCAGAAAAGGATAATTCGAAAAGAACCACAATACTTATACCGTACCAGGAGTGGCAAAAATAGCTCATCATTATTGATTTGACAATTATTTTGACAATATTCTTATGCAGACAACATTTTTGTTTGTACACTTCCTTTTATGGTGGGGCCGTCAGCTATCTAAAAAAAAATTTGGTAACAGGATAGGAAAATCGGGTCATCATCTCCGTGTAAGGTCCGCTTGAAAAGTGGCGCCACTGTTTTTTATTTCCTTAGTCCTAGTTAAGGATATCTGTATCGACCTGGTACACGAATAAAAAAAATCGTGTTTCACAATATATACTTTTCCAGTAGAGGTAGTGTATCGATTGTTGAACTTATTTAGTCAAGGTTTTTTTTTCTGAATTTCATGGGCACTATTGACATACAGTACATAAACCAAAAGGATGAAACAAAATCTGTCCTAGTGTGTACAGTATATTCAAGATACTTCTTCCTTGTGAGTCAAAATCAGTATGAAACATCGAGTTTGCCTGGCGTTACATACCATTATGTCCATAGCTCTCTTACATCTATATAATTGTTCGCGATGACAAAAAACCTGTATTTTATTCTAAGGTCGAAAATCGGAGTTAGGTGAATGAAACCCGCAATAGGGCAAGATGTTACATGTCTATATCTCTGCTCATTTGTTTATTTACTTTCATTCATTCATTCATTCATTATTATTTTTTTATTCAATTTAATCTAAATGACAAGAAACAAAATAAAGAGATGGTATGCTCTATAATGTTACCTTTACGGAGTAAATATTATGTATTTGTCAATATAAACTTTTTAAAAACATTTATAAAATCATTGACAGAGTTTTACCATATCATGACATTGTGCGACGTATGGCACCACGAAGAAATCACTCCAGGAACCGTTAACTGACTGAAGAACCTTTGATCTGACTGATGCACAAAATAGGCAATTTAAAACTCATGAATGGGTGGTGATAAAGAAAGAAATAATAATAGTGAAAGAGGTTAGTTGAGTATGTAAAGGGGTGATGAACTTTAACCAAAATTTCTTTATAACCTCTCTTTAGCTAGAGTAATTCCCATTATAACTAGAGCAGCTTTGTGAAAAATGAGAATGCATATTTTCCTTGCTTACAAATTGAGAATAATTATAAATTCCATTGTTTTTTTTTGAATGCACGATGGGATTATATTAGGCATCATATCATTCTACTTGTGAATTTTTTTTTCTTCTATGAATATATTAGAATCGCACCGCGAATTCACCGGACATAACCGATGATAGCAACTGACTTTATTGCATTAATATAAAAAAAATTAATTCCCGATTTGTCTTTTGAAATTTGGCATTTTACATTGATTTATGAAAAAATTGGTTTACAATAATAATCTAAAATAAGTCATTCATAACAACAACCAATAATGTAATATAAATGAATAAACATATTGATGAAAAGTAGCCCCCCCTTTTTTTGTTGTTTAGAAAGAATCCAATATTTTGGTTCAGACATAAGAAGTGAATGATGTTCATAATATTTTGGCATAGATAAAATAAAATTCTAGAGGTAAATATACAGTAGATTCAATTCAAAATATCGTCTGTGCAGTATTTTCATGTAACTTTGTTTTTCTAATAAAATTGATACAATTATGCATGTTTTTCTGCTCAAGGCCGAATAGTTGGATAAGTACAGTAATCACATCTAATTATAAAGCACTTTGTACTATGATTATCTTTCTTTTTATAAAAAAATAATAAGTGATATGTACATCGAAATTGGACGAAAATCTCGGTGCACATACAATAAAGATGCAACGGATAATCGAGATTTTCCACCTTTTGATGTATAAAAAAAGACACGGTATAAGCAAGTCTCAAACGTTGTACAACGTAAATCATGCTTCAAGATAAATATGTAATGTTAGTCCTATGCATGTTATATTGTAAATTTCGATGCTATTCGGCATCACTTCCATCTGAATTATGTTTACTTGTATCTATTGTACAAAAAAAAAAAAAAAACAAGAAAAAAACAAACGAAATTAATGATCAAACGTATATTGCTTCGCCTCACTAAACCGATTGTAGGACTACATGGGTGCTCATATATTCCTAACTCCGTCTAAAGTTTAATATATCTTAATTCATAATATTCATATTATTTGGTTACAATGTTTACAAATCGTACTTTTTTATGTGTTTATTGACGCCAGAAACTTTATTCCAACTTTGTCCACTTTATCCTAGTACCAACACTGTAGATCATTGATTGCCTCACGTCAAGGTAGGACAAACATGGAGTCAAAAGCTTGAAACACAAACGAAACGTCTCACATTATCTTATAAGCCACGTCGGACGGAAGAAGGCTCAGTAATAGCTACCACACAGAAAACAGGCACCATTATCTTGATCAAGTAGAACAATGTAAACAATCATTGGAATAATAAATACACTACTCAAACCATTTCAAATCCTTATGTAGAAGTCTCTTCACACTTCTCTTTTAATTATGAAAGGGCTCATTATTTTATCCATAATTTTCTAAACTAATTATTGACAAGATTGACAATAATAATAAAAATAATGTAATAATGTAAAACAAACAAATAGTAAAAACAAAACCGATAACAAGGATAATGAAAAAATACCAATTTCTCCTATAATGATGGGTCTGTCACGTTTTCACTTTCGCGCGACAATCTCGTAGATCACATGTATGGAATCACATGCGCCTTTCACATTTACAAAACTTAAATTTGTTAATAAATAAAGTAATTTTTATATGATGCCTTTAATTTGGTGAAATATTCGGATTTTTTAAAAAAACTTTTCTATAATTAAATCGGTTTAAATATATAATCGAGTATTTATAGTGTAAGAAGTAAAAAAACAAAACGCGTGGCTCGCGTAATGCTACCACTCAATTATGACATAATGGGGCTGTTGCGATTTAAGGAATTTCTTATAAACATATAAAAAAAAGAGAGAAAAACACAAGTAAGAAGAGAAACACAAGTAAAAGGAGATGCACGAACAAATCAAACAAACCTCTACATTATCAAATAAACTCGTTTCATTTTCTAATGCATTCACTACCTCATGCAAAAGCCCAACCCTTCTTCGACGTTTCACGATCTGCGATCTCCACAATACCACGATTGCTAAATATAGTATATACATACGGTTCTCGGAATCCGATGATTATCGATTGGCTGATGACTATGATTATCAATTTTGGGAAATTGAGGCTGGATAATTATCAAAGGTTGACCGTATTTACAGCACTAAGTATGCTGACCCCCAAAATTTGAATTCCGCAAGAAAAACTCTAAAAAGGTGATTGGTCCGGTTCTATACGATTCTATAGATAAGAAACATTTATAATTTTCCTTTCATATAAAGAATTGTTTTTCTTATAAAGAAAGGCACAAGTGTTTATGATTCAAATATGTTAATTCAATGTGAACGCAATTTAAACTTCTTTGCTTTGCTCCGAACCAATAAATATTGTCTTTATATTGTGCATCAACATTGTACACGTACAAATGGGAATCTTTTTAGTAATGAGGGAAAATTTATGTATGTCTGAACTTTATAAAAGGCAAGCCTTCCATAACGGAATTTCTTCTAAATCTTTTTTTTTTTGTCTTCATCTGATTAAACGCTACCATAAAACAAATTTTATTTATGGCAAATAATACAAATAATCAACGACCTGTTCATCAACAGCAAGTCCAGCAACAAGCCGTCCCTCATCAACAAGGAAATTTACAAGCTCTAGCTCAAGCAACAAATCCTCAACGTATAGTTGCTCCAGCAGCCAATCCTCAGCATATTATTGCTCCAGCAGCCAATCCTCAACACATTGCTGCTCTAGCAACAGATCCCTCAATTACTCAATATAATCAATTCGATTTAATTCAAGGCAACGAGTTTCTGTTAAACTTTACTCACACGTCAGATGCACCAGATTTTACTGAATTTCTGTTTAAAGGGGATAAACAGTTCGCGTAAAACAAATAAGAATTGTCTATATTCTTAAATTTAAAACTTTTTTTCGTCTATTTTGTAATTAGCTTATTTTATTAATCAAATGTCATTTCTCTTTATGAGTAATACAGTATATAGATTTTAAGCAAAAATTGTATTATACCAATTATATGATAAACATCTATTTCATAGGCAAGAAAATATTCGGATTTTTACGATCAAAAAAAATATATAATCCATAAAAAAACAAGATCACATACAAATATTGTTGGGCCAACGGTGAGTCGCGGTAACATGACACGATGTAGCGTTACGTAATTAATGTTGTTTGTTAGGAAAGAAGGCAATTTGGGAATTTCAGTATGAATAATAAGACTGTAAGTTTGATATTTAGATAATTTAAACAAATAAATAAAACTAGGGTGACGTGGACCGTTGTTAAGTCTAGGGCATAACTGATGCACATGATAATCCCTCGTCTGATCCTTAAATACTGTAGTAATCTTTTTTTAATACTACAGTAGTTACAGTATAATAAATAGATACGAACCAATAGTATGAGCGCAGACAATAGTGATTCTAACTAATTATATCTAATATAATTACAGTAATTGTCTCAACTTAGTGACATGTATAAAAAAATATTTTTTTTTACTATTAGAGTTCGGGTTTGGGGATGAAGGTCAGAAATTGTAAGATTTTCATCTACTTTAAAAAAAGAAAATTGGCCGGAAGGAATGGACAAATAAGTAAGTGAGTTTACGATTCTTGATAACAAATTACTAATAAAACTTTCTCAATACAGTAATCATAATAAAAATGCATCACTTACAGTATATATTTTATCTCAAGCAATTATATCCTAATAAAAAACAAACAACATTTTATATAATTTTATCTTTAAATCATCAATAAGTTACTAGATTTAGGCTTAAGTGATTTATTTATTTAATAATAAATTCGAAAAAAAGATTTAAGCTTGTGATTTTTGATGATGAGTATTTTTTTTCAAAAGATTTATTGGCAAAATATAATATACAGCATATTAATTTATTAAGATTCAAAAAACCTTTTATAATTATTTATTCCTGTTACAGTGAAAAGTCAATTAGTGCCAGTAACTTTAAATGGTATCTTAATAATTGCACATTAAGATTACCAAAAAAAAAAATTCTAATTTTAAACTCATGATATTTGTCATTTCTTTTTTCTTTTTGTTTTTTTTATTATAAATAAACACCATTTCTTTATTTATTTGTAAATTGCAGAGTATACATTTAGAAAGAAACAACATTTCTCACATGTAATTTGCAATAAGTAAAATGTTAGCTTGCCTACAATAATTATTTAACCTTTATTAAAAAAAATTTTTAAACTATAACAGTTATATAATGTTAAATGACTATAAATACCTACTTGGAATATTTTTTAAAAATAAAATTATGATAATTAAATACAAGCCTTTATTTTATTTATTATAATAACAAAATTATTTGTATAATAAAATCTATAATATATTTTTAATAAATTACTATTTTTGAATAAGTAAATAAAAATTTTTTATAATCTAAATAAATACATATAATTTTTAAATATTTTAGATATCTTTAAATAGCTGAAACTATAAAGTAAAAAAAATAAAGATTTATAATATTTTTTAAAATATATGGCATTGCAAAATTCTGTTTAAATCTATATATATAATTTGACAGAAAATTAACATTATGTATATGTATAAAAAGTTTATTATCAAATTATTCAAAAAAATAAAAAATATATATTGATTGACAACTTTTTAAATATTTGGCCAAATTTAGCATATTATATACTATATAAAAGTGTTTGCTACAAGAAATTAAATAGTAATAAAACTGTATAATTACAATTATTAATTGCTAAATAAATATTTTTTTAATAATAATTATAATTATATAATTTGTTACTATTAAATTTTTGGTAATATTAGCTTTTAAAATATATATATATTGTTAAATTTGATTAAATATTTAAAAAATTATTTTTTGAATAATTTTATAATAAACTTTTATAGATGCAGTATAGATTAAAACTAATTTAATTAAAATAAAGCTTTAAATAAATATATATATGTATTATAATCTATTTAATAAAATATTAAAGTTTTATTAATAAATTTATTTAAAAATATTGATTTAAAGTCAAAAAAATATTTTGAAAAAAGCATTATAAATTATATATATAAATTTATATTGTATATAAAATATAGAAAAAATTAAATTGTACTATAATAATTTTTTTAAAAAAAATTTAATATAAAAATAAATAAAAATCTTATAAAAAATCATAAAAACTTATTATTATACAGTATTTAATAAATGTTATTAAAATTGGTTTATTTCTTTGTTATATAAAATTATTTTTAAAAAATCTTTAAAATCTTTAAAAACTCTATTTAATAATAAAATTTAACTTAAATTAATTATCAAATAAGTTTTTATACTTAATAAAAAATAATTATCATTATATTATTATTGGATTTTATAATTTTAGTTTTTTTTTTTTTTTTTAAAGTTAGACAGCATTAGATACAAATTCTTTATTAGTAACAATGTATCCATTACATCAAGCATCCTTTGTAATACATAACTACAACTAAATGCTAGCCTATCAACTTTATTCATCTGGTACCCAGAAGCCTGTTACTTAATAACCTTTCCTCGTGATACCAGGGGGCTATAGGGGGTAGAAATCCTATTG